TTCTCAAGAGTGTAATCCTTCTTCTAGCTCTATGCATGTGCATTTATCAAACAACATTTTCCAAGCTATGGTTTTCCTCCCTTCTACATCCAAGGGGAGGTAAAGTAAATAGAAAACGGCTTCTCTAGGCACTCTTCCCTAATTTCATGTATTATCCCATTATTATCACTTCAAATGTAAGAGAGCTTTCTAGTTATGCTAATATTATGGATTATAAGAAGTTGGTTAAGGAGGTTTGCATTGACCTGCTTTGTTTGCTTAAAACTAAACTATTTCTAATTTCACGGATCTTCTTTCTTCTAAACAGTATAAGCTCTTTTATGCTGAAGATAATTGTGATAAGTTTTTATGTTTCTTAAGGGTTGTATGCTTATTAAGTGGAATACTAGCAAAATCAATTTTAACATGCTTAATTTTCTTGCTCATATACTAATGGTCGATTGAAGTATTCTATTCTATAAAATTCTTTGTTATATTTATTTGTGCTAAAAGTGGTGCATTGTAAATGAGTGCATTATAGAATTTTATTGATAATGGTGTTATTCATATGTCCGACCCTTGGCTTATCTTTGGGAATTTTGATTGCATCAAGTATCTTATGGATAAATTTGGTAGTTCCTATTATTTAAAAAAAAATTGTGTGATTTTAATAGTTGTATTTTTAATGCCAATTTAATTGAACTTCATAATTCAATTTTATCAAAATGATTGGTTATATCAGCAGTTTGATTACCCCATACATTTCCTTCTTGATAGATTTTGTTTTCAATTACGTATATCTTTAGCTTAGCCTTTTACAAACTTTAAAGTTATGAATCAATCGACTCATGATCATTTGCTTATTATCATTTTCATGGGACAAGTTCATAAACCTAATCATAGATTAATTTATAAAAATGATTAGAATATTTGTTGCTAGTATTTTACTATTGTAAATTCTACTTGGAATAAACTAGTTTGGGTAGATCCCTTTTACCTTTTACAAAGGAAAGAAAAAAGTTAAATTGGACCTCAAATATGCTATATGGAACCCTTCTTCTTACATTTCTAATGCTATTTTTTCACTTAATGATGAAAAAAAAGGATTTATTAAGCCATTGAATCAACCCCCATTGATACTTGTTTACTTGGGGATGCTTTTATGGATTAAAAATATCTTATCTTTGCAAACATTTATGAAAATTTTTGGGTTAAATAGTGGGCTAAATGATCTTGGCTCTAGAAGGTGGATGATATAAAATTTATTAATAAAAAGTTTAAATTGGGAGGAGTATTAATAAAATTAAAGAGTTATTGACTACCTATGTTTACACTTCTTCTTATAAAGGTAATGTAGATAAATCTATCAAGCATTACTCCTCTCTCTTTAGTAATGCTTGTCCTTCTTGAGATACTATCAATTTGCTTATTGACGATTGAGTTTCTTAGGATGATGACAACATCTTAACTGATGATTTCATTAATTAAAAGATTAAATATACTCTTTTTAGTTTTGGTGATGATAGTTGTCTTAGAATTATGGTTTTACTTCAAAAACTTTCTAGGATACTTGGGATATCATGGAGGAGCTTTTCTTTTTTACTATGCATATTTTCTCTTTGGCTAAGCTTCCTATTAGCATTAATATGCAACTATTAATCTAATTCTCCAAAACTTGCATAATCTAACCATCAATGAATATTAGCCTATATCTCTATTGAACACCATATACAAAGTCATTACTAAACTTAATGTTAGGGTTAGGCTTCTTCTTCCTAATATTATTCATTATGCTTAGTCTCCCTTTGTGTATGATGAGACATTTTTGATAATGTTGCATTTGTAAAATATATCGTCAGACAATTCAATTCTCACTATAATTTCAAGTTATTTTATGTTAATGTTGACCTTAAAAAAGCCTTTGATTGTTTGAATAGAGAGTCTCTTTATAGCATACTATTTGCTCTTAGCTTTCTTGCCACATTTATTAATCGGATTATTGCATATACTTCTAATGTGAAACTCTCTATGCTTATTAATTGTGAAGTTAGAGGGCTCTTCTCATCTAATTATCATGACCTGACCCGATATCACATAAGTCATACCAAGCATAATCATAGCAAGAACCAGAAACTGACTCCAAGATCAAGTTGACGAAGTGCTGAGAAAAATTAAACTTTTAATTTATAGAGCATAGAGCCACTACTAAATACAATATTAAACAGAAGATTAAATCTCAAAATTTTTTTTTTTTGTATATCATCGAAAAATACATACACAATTTGAGGTTTATTTACAACAATACTTGCAATAGAAAGTAGAATAAAAAATAAAAGTCAAGCCTGCAAAAATGAACTAGCCAAAATGCATACTTGCAGCACAGATTAGAACTTAATACCATCACTACTCAACTTGTGTCTAAGCCTTTCTTGGCTTGAAAATGTAAGTTAAAATAAGAAAGAACTAACACGGATCAGTAGGTCATCATAGCCTAAAATAGGAATCAATAACTCCAACCAAAAAAGCTAAAACATTGAACTAATAAATTAAAGTACTATACGAAAAACTAAAATTGAAATGGACACTAATATTGAATTTTAGTATGCATTTAAATAACTATTTAAATTATACTTAAGCTGACTAAAATATAACCAAATATTTTATAGTAACATATTAAAACCCCCCCCCCCCCCCCAAAAAAAAAAAAAAAAAAAAAAAATCTATATATACCAATTAATAGAATCCCTTCTCGCCACTAATATAATTCCATATTGTCGCCAATGAAATCCATTCTTATTAAATATAACCCTAAGGATCTAGAATTTCTAATACATAACATAACATAATCCATTCTCGCCACCAATTCAAATATTTTAACCACATACACTAAAAATAAAGTGTATTAATGATAGAATTGTTAATGAGTCTACATAAAATGCTCTAACAAATGCCAAATAATTTTCCACCCGATGTTCTATAGTTTGTCAAAACAAAGTTTTTATAATTTTATCACTTTATCAAAGATTGTGTATAACAATGTTTTGAAGATTTAATTGAATTAAATCACTATTTTTATATGTCAAAACAAATTTTTAACTTGAAAAAATCGTTGCTTTCCAAAATCACTTGGTAGAAAATCTCAAATAAATAGTCAAAATGATCAAAATAGTTGTACAAATAACATGTCAAAGTTATACAGTAGAAAAGTCACCAGAATATGATAAAACTATATTTTTTGTTAAACCAAATTATAAATTTAATTAAAAAAAATTCCATAAACTAAGAATTATTAAAAATTGAGATATACAAATTATAACTTAGCTCAATCTGAGCAATTTTTCTAACTGGATCGACTGACAAAAATGGCTCTATGACCATTAAATACTAGTTTCTCTTTCCTTTCTCTTCTCTTTTTCTTCTCTAATTCAATTTTTGCTCTCTATTATGAAATATATAGGAAATTAAATGCCATTTTAATGAAAATCTGTAATGGTTAAATATTTTTATAATAAGGATACAAAGGTAATTATGTCATTTATTTAATTTTTAGCATAAAATTTTATAATTTTTTTTATATCTTCAAGTTTGAGGATCCAAAAATTATGAATTCATAAGTTAGCTAAGTATGTCTAGAAGATTCTGGTAAAATCGGTTTGCAAAATCGATACCTAATAGTCCTAAAAGGCCCACTTGTATTGACATATGTTAATTTCTTTAAAAATTGCAATTAAATAAGAAGCTTATTGTTTTCATATTTACAATGAACATAAAATTAGAAAACTATTATTATAATTAAAATAAAATAATATCTACTTTATGATGAAGATATTTTACAAATTAGACGTATAACGACTCATGAATATTATTTGACTGCTATAGGTCAAAACAAATCTTTTACAAATTTAAGGTTTATTACACTACTTATGCGCTAAGACTCTTTTCCTCTTCATCATTGATATGGATAGCTTTTCAAGATTAATGAATACCTATCATTCTCGTACAAAATTCTCTCAAATTCATATTAACAATAATTCTATCTTTCATCACATATATGCTAATGTCTTGTCTTTGATAAATCTGACAATAACACAATTACTTATCTAAACTTTATTTTGAGCAAATTACATTTGGCTACTAATCCTCATACAAATTTTGTCAAATCTACCATGATTTTTTTCTAAGAATATATCTAGGAAGAATGGGATAAGGTTTTCTAAACATGATGGCTTTAATCTTAAGCAATAATATTGCGATTATCTTAGTTCCTTGATATCCCCTTACAAAATTAAAATTGTAGACTGCTCAAAATTCATTACAAGAATTGATGATTAGGTGATTGGATGCAAATGCTCCTTTCTTTTTTGCTTGAAAGTTGGAGCTCATTAAATTCATCATTTGGAATCATCTTGCTTATTCGTTTCACCACACAATTTAGCCAAAGGGAATTCAGAAAAAAAAAAAATCTAATACATGATTTAAATTAAGGGGGCTTAAGACTAACCATATTTTTAAATAAGAGAGGTTTTTCTATAAATCAAGCTAATGTGCTTTGCAACTCATAATATGAATCTCATGCTCATTTTTTAAGTGTCTTATCTCCTTCGACCTTCTACAAAATTGAATTATTGATGGCCATTTTTATGTTTTCTTTTTTTAATATGATTTAGGTTTTATTATATGTGAAAATTTTATTACAGTTTTAGATTTTATTTTGTAATTACTTAAAAATTATGATTATATGATTTAATTGGCTCGATGTAGCCTCAACTATAAAAATAAAATAAAATATTTTTTGAGAGAATTAAAAAAAATAATAAAAAATAAAACAGCTCAGATGCAATCTACCTGCGGGGGAATACGAGCTCGACAACGCAGAACAAGACGAGCTCGCACGATCTACTCAACAGGACAGTTCATATATTTGAAATTTCTGTCGGAATTCAAATTGTAAATACATAATGATAGTGTAGCTAACTATGTAGCCCCGCCCTACGCTAAAAACCTCAGTGGCAGTCTCTTTGCCACACGGAGGGCTACACGAAATATTTTCGTCACTGCATTTTTCTCTCGGGACTGTTTTCAGACTTCAGCAGGCGCCCCGCTTTCAAAGAAGATTGACGAGAGAGAGAAAAAGACGGGAGCCGGGAGCTTTTGGGTATTAAGGGGATGGTTCTTTAGGGTTTGCTCTGTCGAGTTTCGATCAGAACGAGGCCCTGAAGTTTTGGTTTTCCCTGACAATCTCATCTTGCCATTTGTACGATTGTGATGTTTTGCATATTTGATTTCGAATTTGTCGCACAGTAGCGGTTTAGCAGTAGTAGTAATCGAGCATTTTTTATTTGAGAAGGGTTCGATTACGTTTTTCTTTGCTTTGATGATTATGATTACGGCGAGGAGCTTCGTGCTAGCTGAATTCAATGCAAAAATTTTGGGTTCACTATCATTGCACCAGCGATCGTCTGGTTTGGTCACGCGGCTGGCATTTTCTTCTTTAGATTAATATTTCGATTGACAGCCACCATCTTCGCCTAAATTTCAGTTTCGTGGTTCTATGTGGTGATCCTTTCCTTTTAAAGGGAAAAATTTGCAATCAGAGCTCCAATTTAGTATACCATTATTGACTCGTTGTTGCAGCGACTGTTTTTGTAGATCAGTTGGGTGAGTTGGTAAGATCACCATAGACTTTCATGTTCTTCTCTGCTCGTCTCTTTTGGCAAGCTATTTCTTATAGAAAAATAGGAATCAAGTTTAACATTAAGGATCTTTGATCCTTAGTCCTAAACTAACGCTAAGATTGTGGTTTTCAAAGCCAATTTTTAAATGCCAAGGCATAATCAAAGTTTTGAAGGTTTTATCAACGGAGGCTGCAAGATCCGAAAGAGAGGATGCTCCTCCTCCACTTCATCTTCTTTGCTGCAGAGTAATCGGTATAAGAGGGCAATTCGAATCAGGGGAAAGGGTGCATCCACCAAACCCGTTCATATGTGGAGGATGAATGGTAGGTCACCATCTTCTTCAGGTAGGATTTCAGACTCGTCGTGGTGTAGAATTTCAAATTATGGTTGCAGTGGAACTCAAGCTACTGTCTCAGCTCGGAAGCTTGCAAATGCCTTATGGGAAATGAGTAGAAACTCTTCAGCACTAGAATTTGAAAAATTGAAGGAGAAAATTGCTAAAAGAGAGAAGAGTGGGGATTACAAGTTAAGGAGGTCTATTGAGGTCATTTCTCCACCTCGACGCCCATCTGATGAAGGTCACAGTCCTGTTTTGGTGGTGAGCGTATGGCTGTTAAGTTTGTCGCAATGTTATATTTTCATTATATTTAAAGTATCAGATTCGAGCATTTCTGTACTTATTTTTGTCTGTTAACTTTAATACAGAGGTCTGAAGAATCTAGGTCCCGTAGCCACAAGAGAGTGATCTCGAAGAAACCAGGGCATGGAGGGCTTAGTAACAGAGCCTTAGATTATTTAAGTAGTGGTAGTTTAATGGAGGTATGAAGCTTTAATAGTTTTCATAATTATTGCTTTTTTATTTCCTTCCATGCAGTAATTCGCATTCCATTATGTATTTTTAGTGAATACATATTTAGATTTGACAAGCATGTCCATTTGGATAGCGTGACCACTCATTTTTCCATTCCTATCTTATTGTCCCATACGGTGGGCATCCTAGAACCAACATACTTTTTAGATCATCGAAACATTTGTTTAATGTTTTATCCAAATCTAATCTATTTAGCAATATCACAAGTTTTTTTTTTATTCGAAGATTGTTTCAAAATGTCAAAATGTTTTTTTTTTGTCCATTTTCTCCTAATAAATGCTGAAATACATTTTGTTTGGGGTGCATCAGTTTGTTAGGTCAATTTCGGGTATGTCCAAGCCTTTTCAGGTCAATAACACCAGCATGGCTGTTTGTGGACCATAGTTAGTCATTCTGTATGGGCAGCCAGGGTGATCATGCTTTTTAATTAAGATTTCAACTTAAAAATGCAATCTTATTTAAAAGAGTAATGCATTCTATTGCTAACCTTTTATTCAAACTTCATTAAATTTATTAATGAATATAGTTAAAACTAAATATCTAACCAAAGGATAAAACCTTTGGAATTTCCAGACCCTCTTAAATTAGATATCTATGAATGATTCTTTTCAAAATATGGTTTTAAGCGATCCAATGCTCCAAGAGGTCTCCAATATTTTTCAATGATGCATCCTTTGTATTTCTAGTCAAATTCAATCCACTTGAGTTGATTATAAAAAGTGAATTCTTGAAATTCAGCCATTGTCGAAAGGACTTAAGGAAATATTGGCCACAAAAATGCTTTTGATTAATTGCTAAATGACTATACATTCGGTAGCTAGTTTGGATTAATTGCAAGTAGCAAACATAATCCCTTACCCATTAACCTGAACTGTATAAAAGGGACAGAGCAATTGTATAACTAAAGGGCATAATTATAAGGGTGAATTACATAGTATGTACTTAGATTTAGGTCGCTTCACAAATAGGCTCATTGAGGATAGAATTGTGAAATTACAATAAAGCATTTATATATATACGTGAAAACCTATTGTTACTTTTAGTGTTAATTATATATTAATATAATAGGCTCATTGAGGATGGAATTGTGAAAATGTGAAATTATAATTAAGCATTTATAGATGTTAGCTTATGTCTACACTTTTCTTTGTTAATCCTTCGACCATAATTTTCCTCCCATTTAATGGGTGAATTTTCTATCATTTATTATTCCAATTCAAACTAGCTAAATTTTTTATAGAACTATAAATATTCATCTTATATATATATATATATATTAAAAGCTATCATTAATATTTTTTCCATTTCATAAAGTGTATGGGATAGGTCAAACAATAAGCAATTAAATAAATATATATATATATATATATAGTTACTTTTAGCTATAGTTATATATTAACGTACCAGGCTTATTGAGGATAGAATTATGAAATTATAATTAATCATGAGTTCTTAGACCTGAAAGCGAGGACATTAGATGTCAGCCTATTTAAATGCATGAACCAATCACCTATTTAAATATGTGGGTACCATCCTTTATTATAGGTTGATAGATTGATGGATGGTGATAGGATGTATTCATTTCATTTTGATGCAGTGATTTGATATATCACAACCACTTTAGATCCTCCCAAATATGAGATTTGTTTTTGATAATCCTGATCAATGTTTGAAGTTGCAATCAATGCAATAACGTCTCTAATAGAGATGCAGTTGTGATGCTCGTCTTTCAAACCTTTGAACATTAAACTATCCAGGGATCAAAATATGTAGGAAACTTCATCATGAAGGGATTTGACATTGGTTAGTCTATTCATATGTAATTGCTATTAATGTGATTTAACCAGCATTTATGAAGGTAGTGGCTGTATGTAGTCGATTACTCAATCATACTGCTGATATTTTTAAAATTAAGTATTCCATTTATGTGGTCATGGTTTGTAATCCGTTAGAATTGATGGTTGCATTTCAAATGGCTTGGCATACTCTATTATATTTTGAATAAAATTTGAGTTGGATCTACTATTTCTTATACTTTTGGGAGTCAACATCTTGATCAAATGTGTCACTGTAAGATCTCTAGGAGAGACTATTTCCTTGACAAGCATGAGTTGTTGCTTTCGGCAAATTTTTACTTTTACTTTTTCCTGTTCTACATTTTTTATAAAATAAATCATATGATTGATTTTAATTAAATTAATATTAGATGTGTGGCCTAATTTTGCCACCAACTTTGAATGGCAAGTCTAAAAGTGTAATATGTATTTGATGTATGTGTTTCACGCATTACTAAAAACTATACCTAGCATTTACAGGTAAATTGCCTACCTCATAATGTCATCTACCTAATCTCTAGAAGTTTGTTACCTACTATCTCTAAGCATTATATAAAAATTGATTGCATGGTCTTGATGGGTATCACCTATCATTTTTCTTCATTTAACTAGGTATAGAGGCAGAGATTGGAGAGTTACTTGATGGAGTGGTCAGAGGCTAACAATTAGCTTCGTCGGTACCTTATAGAGGCATTTGGATAATGGGTGGTTAGTAATGAGCAATAAAATCTTGGAAGTGATAGAATTCATAAGACTTGATAAGAGAAAATTTGTGGAATTTTTTTTTTATCAGTGACCAGTGAGGTGGTCTAATATCAATAGTATCAACCTATCAGGGTTTCCTTTATCTGTAGTGAGCATTGCTGGTGGAGTCAAGACAGTAGGACCAACACACCACCAAGCAGTGAATGACCAAGATGAGCTCATCATGAACCGACAAAACTAAAGGAATTTTCTTGAGGAAACATGAACAGTAGGGTGATTTATAGGTGTATGAAATAAGGGTAGCTTTTTAAAGTCTAAAGTTTATTAGAGGGAGGGACAAGTTTCATGATTTTATTAGTTTTGTTTAGGCAATTAATTAGAGACATGGACACATGTCAGGTCCTATTCAAATAATAATAATAAGAGCTTGTGATGAAAGAAGGGTATAACTAGCTCAAGGTCAAAATTTGCAGTTAATGAATGTTGAAACCTTTTTCATCTATTACTTCTCCATTTTCTCAATTCGCCTTCCCTAAACTACTAAGAGCCATTACAATTCCACTAGCCAATCCTCCAGAGCCTTCAGCAATGCTCGAATTCACTTATTATTATTATTTTGGTGCTTTTGTTATGCTTTATCTTACTTCGTTCCACCACAATGGCAGATGACACTTGTTCTTCAATCTACATTCAAAGATCATTTGCAAAATACTTAGGAACAACTTGTTTAAATAACTGAACTATTACAGGATATGCATCTTTGTGTCACCTATAAGCAGGACCAATCCATGCTGTCCTTGCCTCCCACATCACAGCTAGATTGCCTCAACAAGTTCATGAGAGAGTTTATGGAAAGTAAACCATTCAAATCAATCCATATGAAAATCTCATGGTATATTAACAAGAATCTCGAAACCTGGATTCAAAAGATTAAACATTATATAGATTTTACCATATGAAAGTCCATATGAAAATCCTATTTATCTTTTAATGTGTTTACCATATACTGATCCATGGGACCCCTAGCACCACTATAGGACATGAGTTGTAATGAAGAAGATGAATCCCAACTGCTGCGCTCGCTCCTGTAGTAGGAGCCTACATCAACTCTATCATCAAACTTTTTTATATTTTAGGTGCTTTGACATTAATGAATTATTCATATATGTTTTGATCTTTTCCCTTATGGTATCAAGTACTTTGACACATGTTGCAATATTTTTGTATGATCCAGATAGGTGCTCATTTATCATAATGAGACTTTCACCAATTTCTCACAGTAATTATATTTCAAATATACATACGACTTATTGTTGCCTCCCACATCAACTTAATTGTTATGTTTCTATGTCTGGTCCTTCCTATGATCCGACATGGTTTTATCCTTGCTTCTTACCATCCTCTACAAAACCCTTTAATAGCAAGTTAAGAACAAAAAAATAAAGGACATAATCACCATTTAGTTTTTTATGAAACATTACATCATTTAAGATAACATTCAATCAAATACCCTGCACTTGAGAGATAACACTATTATCTTTATAATAAATTATAAGATATTACTCCTATCAGTATGACATCAAATCAAGCTACCCTTTTAAATATATTTCATGATTAACTCTAACTAAAACAACCAAAACTCCATTAAGTCACCCTTCCACGTTAACATGCAGTATAAAAAATTCCTTCCTATATGAGAATAGTTCCTTGCCGTAAAATATTACATCAATAAATGTAGTAAAAAAATTCCTTGCTAGTTCATGAATGTAATCCATCAAAAACCTAAATCACTTATTGACCAAGCAAGACCATTAAAATCATTTATAATATGACGGATTGGATCCAAATTGTGGTCGTCTAAACCAATTAAAACAACAACAACATCAAGCCTCGCCATTGTGTCCGGTTAAAAGTCAAATTCTTATTTAAATCTAATAAAGAAAGATCATTTCTAATATTTTCTAACCAAGTCTTTTTAGGTCTAACTCTACCTTTCTTAACATAAATCAAATCTAATGCCTCAACTTTCTTAACCGGGTCATCAGAAGGCCTCCGTTTAATGTAACCAAACCATCTAAGGCGACTCTCTCTAATCTTATCTTCCACTGGAGCTACTCCTACCTTTTCACGTATATGCTCATTTCGTATCCTATCTCTAAGGGTCAAGCCACTCATCCACCTAAGCATCCTCATCTCTGCAACACTTAACTTAGTATTATGCTTCTCTTTTAATGGTCAGCATTCGACACCATAAAGCATTGCAGGTCTCACCACCTTCTTATAGAATTTTCCCTTAAGTTTGAGGAGGACTTTTCTATTGCACAATAAGCCCGATGCATTCCTCCACTTCAACCATCCAACTTGAATTCTACTGATAATAACCCCATCAATTTCACCATCACTCTGAA